ATGAAAATTTTTGACTCAAACCAAAGCTCTGATACCACTAAATATAACCCCTCAGATCGATGTGGGTAATCCGATCCCAGATTAGGGTCACCGGAGCGACCCACTGTAAAAATAGCGGAAAATTTAAAACTTTTATTAAAACATGTAACTTATAAAATGATTTATCAGTATGCAGAAATAAAACAGATTTTCAGACTCGTATATAAAACAAAATACAATTACATGCCCCCTAATCACATGTATCATACTCTGCAACAACGCCAGAAGAACTCCCTTACTGAAGTCGATAGCTGCACTGGTATAATTCTTTTAACCTGCAATGATGAGTAATAGAGTAAGCTTCAGAAATCTCAGTAATACAATACTACCAGATGATGCTGAAGAACGTGTAGATACATATAAACATATATTTCCTTATTGGTTCAGACATGTACAAAATTTTAGTCTAAGTTGAGGTCCCATTGATATCTCAGGTAGTAAAAGATAGTATTCAGTTCAGATGAAAATATTTTCAGATGTCTAGGTTTAAGAGATCAGAATAGGTTATCTAGTGTTTTCCCGTAAAACTAGTAAAAAGATATAGATCCTTTAAAACACACACATATATATATATATAAACACTACCCCCATCCATCACGAACAAAATGTGTAGGTTCCCCAGAACCATACAACCCCTTCACGAACAATAAGGCCCTGAGCACAAAGCTGAGGAACCTGCAAGTATTTTTCCTCCAACAATACCCCCAATAAAATATGTTTCGTCCGTAAACGAATATATCGAAAATCAAAACATAATTCAGGTCAAGTATCAGATCAGAATCCAGGTCATGTATCAGATCAGAATCCAGGTCATGTATCAGATCAGAATCCAGGTCAGTATCATATCAAAATCCATGTCAGGTATCATAACAGAATTCAAATTGGAAATCAGGTAAAATATTCATGTGATTAGGGAACACACCAGAGTTTACGGATATTATTCAAAGGTACTGGATAATCTTAGGAGATAAAGAAACACGGATCTTCAGTATATCGATAGAATGTCAGAATTTAGAATCACTATAAGAAGAGTTCATTAACTGACAGAATTATCAGTTATTCAAAATGAGATTTGAGTTGATAAGGAAGAAATGAAGATTCATGACATTTACAGTCAGTGCGATCTATCAAATTATTGAAATAACTCAAGTTTAACAACTTTCAGAACTAATGCATGTTGACCGATTCATTCTTTTTCCTTCAGGTATTCATTTTTTTAAATACAAAAAATTCTTATCCATAGATCATCTTCAGAATCATCGTTGAATAGATCTTAAGGAAACTAAAAGATATTTCCAATGCTCTTAATTCCGGTTCCATGCTTCCACGATATCATGCAATGCTAACGTGCTTGATTTATAGTTCATGACCCATAAGAACATTACATCATGTATGTTTATTAACGTTTCTAGACTCATCCAAATCACTTATTTAATCCTTAGTCATTGGGGTTACTTAGTTCATTTAGCAGTCAAATCCATTCCAGTTACTTCGGAGTCTCCTATAGTAATTCGAACATTTCTAAATATCATATACATATTGTACTTTCTTTCAGTTCAATTCGGTCTTCGTGGTTAACTTGTCGAACAAATATCCAATTCTTAGTACTGAATTTGATCTAGAATTGAGCTGAGCTGAATACATCTAAAATTATCATCGAACCAAACTTGAGAAGACGAACAGACATTCAAATGATACCTATGCCATTCAGGTACTGACAAATCGTTATCGTTGGTCAGCTCGCTTAAACTGAATTCCATAACTTTTCAAGGTAGTTCAACACCCATGCTTATTTGGATTCCTTAATTAATCTAAAACATTTACTTAGTCTAGACCATAAGGGTATTTTGGTCATTTTGGTGCTCTATGGTTTTCCATTCATTTCAAAGTTTGAGGATATCTATTCATTCTTGAGCTTGGTGATATTCTTGAGTCATTTCCTTTACAGGGGTATTTTGGTCATTTTATAGATCCAATGTATTTCAATCATTTCCTTTTATCCAATATTATTATTTAATTTTAATCTTATCACTTACTTTAGTCATTTCAAACAATTGTGAACAAAGAGCATCGTCAAGATATCATTCTTCAGGTATTTACTCATAACTTGGAGATTTCCGAGTCGATAGCTTTCTCAAAATCAAATTTCAAATAGACATGATCTTAACAATTAAATCCGTAATTGATCGGGTTAAGAATGCAATTTTAGGGTATTTTCTCATTCAGGGTCAACTCGGACAATTTTTATTTCTCAAGGGCATTTTCGTAATTTCTTAACAAAAAATTTTCAGAATTAACTCTTAACATAAATAATTATAATTTAACGATCTTATGGTTAATTACGTTCCCAAACATTCTCTAATCTTAAAATATTTCTTCAACAGACTTCTAATATCTTGCATAAACCCTCTTGGGGTTAAAAACCGGTTATCCAAATTTTCTAAGCAAAACTAGCATTTCTTATGCATATCTGTAAATTTATCAGATCAATATGCCTTTTCAGAGTTATTAATCAACTTCCAAGGATAATTCTTGTCATTATACAACATAAGGGTATTTTTGTAATTTATCACTTAAACCGTATTCGGTTCGAATCCATCCATAATCAAACAGGCATAATAGACTAATCATATATATATCCATGCATTTATACATTATCAACATGTTTAACAAAGCATTAAGAGGTACCTCGATTTTTGTGCAATACTGGTAGACTATTAAATTCCATTCGAGCGTCCTCGATCCTTAATTAAACTTCCAATAATTCATCAAATACATAACAATATAAATTTAAAAAAAACGGGGCTTAATTCTGAAAAAACGGATCGAATCGGGTGATAAATCAGTGAAAAATAGCTTATCGGGTTCGAATTTGGCAAAACGAACCCCAAAAATGAATTCAGGACGTCAAAAAACGTCAAGATAAGTATACCAGAAAAAGTCAACGGTCGTTCAACGCCAGTCAACGGTCAACGGTTAACGCTGGTCGGGTTGGTCAGTCGGACCGGGTCGGTTTGGGTCGAGTCAGACCGGGTCGGGTCAAACTAGTTTATTATTATTTTTTCTCTCTTTACCTGTGGCCAGGACTTCCCCCACGTGTAGGGGGCGGTGCGTGCGACGTCGTGGAGGGTCCAAAAATTCCCGAAAAAATATCTAAAAATTATTTTATTGCATTTTGAGACACTTACGAAGCTCGGTTTAAAATTTTGAACGGTGGAGAGCTCGATTGTGAAACGTTGGAAACTTTAACTTTCTCACCCCTCCACGCGCCGGCGACGAAGGAGACACGGAGGACACCGGTGGACTCGAAACGATGCAAGGAACACGATGGTATGGGATGCGTCGAAAATGGGTTGCCGGATCGACGTGAATCGACCAAAAACCGACAGAGATCAGGTTAAAACTGACGATACTTCCAACTGAAATTAACGACAAACGACGACGATTCACAACGAGAGGTTTGAGGGGTTTTGTTCATTGGTCGAAAACGAACACGATGGTGGTTTCAGTTCGTCGAACAGAGGCCGGACGACGAGTATATCAGAGTTGAAAGGAGGGTTGAAGGGGAAGGGAAACTGGGAAAAAATGAAATCTGAAACATGGGGAGAGAGTTTATAATTCTCTACTAAACAAAAATGGGTAAATCAAAAGTTTAGCCACTGAATTTCATGCACCTTAAAAAAGGGTATTTTGACTTTGCGACTTTACAATTTAATCCTCAATTTTCTTCCGAAAATACAAATTAAATCCACCACTTTATAATTCTAAAATTTAGCCCCTAAATTGGGGTGTTACACTGAACTTTAGTTTACATATTAATTTGGTCTATACATAAAATTCTCAACTCTTCTAACTTTCGTTGCCAATCAATCGTTGTTCGTCATCGGTTGTTATTTGCAACAAAATTAGAACCAAAACATTCACATTTTATTCCTCTTTTTCTTCTTCTCAAATTGGTTTTCCACAAAACTCAATCAAAATTGATTAAAAATCATTTTAAGGTTCACCGTTCTAGTGCTTCGATCTATTCTAATGATAGATGAAGTTAGTTTTGAGTTATATTGTTAGTTTTCTCGAAATAATACTTTTTACCATTCCAATTTTCAAACAAACACTCCAATCCCCTCAAATTCGAGAAAGCTCATAAACCCTCCAAAATGGTGTTTTTTGTGTGTTTAATTTTATGAAAAACACTAAATTTGATGATAATATGGAATTTGTTTTGGCTTCCACATCAATATCAAACTACCATATCATCTGAATGTTAATGATTTAATTACTTATTGCTTGAATTGAATCCAAAATTAAAATTCAATGCTTAAATTAAAATATTTTAAAGCTAAATATTAAAATTAATAAACAACCTAAAGTTTAATGATATTTGATGCAATTGATCCTTTATCATTTCTCCAATTTCTTCTAGTAAATAACGCTCAAAATATTCAAACAAAATATTGAAATGTAATTCAAGATGAACCAATCAAACATATACAATCTGGACCCAGGATAAATATCATATATCAATTTACTATTACCATAATCAATGAGAAAAATGAAAAATGCAAATTGAGGAATCTATCCATTGAAACCAGTTGTCATTTCCGGTTTACCACGTTATTTATGGTCTCAGTGAACCAAATCTTCAAAATTTTAAAATAACTACCCACTTCTTATTTTCCTGTAGAAAAGATGTGAAGAATCATTTAAAAAAATGAGATGAACAAATATTATTGGTTGAGATCATGGAGAATGATGTGGGCTAGATCTATCTAATAATTTTTCCTCTACTTGGATCATGTTAAAATAGACATAAGATTTTATGTTAATGGTACAAACTTAAAAAAATTATATTAAAAAATTTAAAGGATTTAAAATTATAAATGATATGAAATTAAATCAACAATAAAAATTATAACTAAAATATTTAAACTACATGAAAATTAGAAATTTTTAATACCCAACTATCCATCTTGTGTTGTAGCAAATTCTTGGAAGGATTAGAAGGACGAGTCCAAGACCGACACTTATATACAGCCGGCTCTTTCTTCTTCAGAAGATCTCTTGTCGTCAACAAATTGTCACTGCTCACTTCCTTCTCTTCTAGCCCTTCTCCTTTAACTGCTTGATTATTCAAAGTTCCCTGATATTCAAACCGACATGGAAATGTTTTAAGCCCTAAAGTTTAACCACTGAGAAGAATTGGTGCTACATGAATGATCCAACATGGCCGCCGAATCAAGCCCATCAATCATCAGAAATTCTTCTCCGGCTAGCCCTGTTTGCTTAACACTATCGCTGTTGTTTTCAGCCTGTCCGGAGCTTGGTTGTGCTTCGGCTTCTATTGCGCTGCTTCCATCAACTCCATTGCCGCCATGAGGCTCGGCCAGCAGTTCACTCAACTTCTGTATCTGAACGCCATTGAGAAAATGTCAGTTCATATAAATTCAGTGATTAAAGAGAGTATTGTTTTCTGTAAAGATCTCGGATAAAGATCTCGGATTTAAGTATTTGCATCTCTAGAATGGGGTTTACCTGTAAAATCAAGGTTTGTTTTTCTTTCTTCAAGCATTCGAATCTTGATTCCAGGTTGTCGTAATTAGCTTTGAGTGTGTTGTAATCTTGCTCTATCCTCTTGGACTTCGATCTGGCTCTTCTGTTTTGAAACCATATGGCTACTTGGCGAGGCTGAAGCCCCAGCTCCCTTGCCAGTTGCTTCTTCTTCCTAGGGTCCAGCTTCGTCTCCGATTCGAATATCGACTCGAGTAACCTTATTTGCTCATCACTGAACCTCCTTTTGTTCTTCATCTTATTCTTCTTGCACCTTGGTTCTGTTCTTGCTTCATCTGCTGCTGGATCACACTCTCTATCCATTTTGAAGGGCAAATTAATGTGTTTGGGATTAGAAATGAGGCAAAGAAGGGTTGCTGGAAATATATAGTTCCCCATGATTAGGAAATACTTGAATTACACTTAGATATGTAAATGAATAAAGTGTTCGAAGAACTATTTATGAACTGTTCGTAAAATGTTTATTTATTAAGTTTAATAAACGAGTATTAACACGTTTTTATGTTCATTTGTAGATGAGTGAACAGAAATAAAGATGTGCTCGATTCGTTTATGTTCACAAACAAACTCGTTTGAAAGCTCGTTTGTTGACTCGTTTATAAGATTGCTTACCCGATTCTCGTTTTCTTTTTACTTTTTATATTTTAAATATCGATCAAGATATATTAAATTGAGCACAAGGTGGACTTTAAAGTTCAAATTGTGAATCCTACAAAACTAAAGGACTAATGACATAATTTAAACAATTCTGAACATATAAACAAATATGTTCGCTAATGTTAAACGAACATGTTCGCGGATAATAAATAAAATAACATGAATACTTTCAAAACTAAATAAACAAACACAATTATGATATTAAAAATTTAAATGAATACGAATCAAACATAGACACTTTTAAAAAATAAATATATGAATAGAAACAATATTTTATTTATTTAAACTCGATTCATTTATACCCTTAATTACAAGTTGCTTTCAAGTGTTTAAGAGACATATGATTGGTAGGTTCTGTTAACCAATAAGGCCATCTATCGTGTGACATTCATTCTTATGCCTTGTGGATATCTATGTCAAATACAATCCACATGTTGGGCGATGGTTGCCTGAATCAGGCTCTATTGCATGAACATATTTTATAAATGGAAATCAATCTTTTCTTGCAAACATGCAAACTAAAAATCCCTGCTCAATCTAGAAAGAAGAAAAAGTTTTAAAAACCATCTCCAACTCAACCATTCTTTGCTTGTGAAATTTCTACCCTAAGTCATAGGAGCACATCACATGGGCTTGTTGTGGTCGATGCATGAACTTGTTACATGCAAACATTTGGGAAGTGAACTCGGGACATAAAAGTTAGCTAATTTATTATAATACAGCCATCCTAAGAGGAACAAAAGGCTAAAGGTTTTTGTTATACGTCTTCCATTTCCTTTTCTTAATATTGATCTTTGTGTATTAGCTTTGAGCTATCTCTTTTATTTCTCCGCCGCAAAATTGATCTTCGCTCATCAAGATTAGTGGAGAACACTCGGGAGAACACCTTTGGACTCTGGATCGTTACATTCTTTGAGAAGTTGCGATTCTTAGATATGACCTATGACAGACACTATATGACCTGCCAGAATAAATAGCTGATCACATCAATCACGCATGTAAAGGTAGCCATCAGGGATATGGACTTAGAGGGGTGTTGGGGTGCGGTTGCACCCCTTAGAAATTCCAAATTTTCATGTAGTTTATGTATTTTATTTGTATTTTCTATTAATATTCTAATTTTACACCTATTTTTTTTAAATTTCGCACTCCTTAAATTTATAATATAACTTTGCATCTTCCGACATAAGATCATGTGTCCATCTTGGTAGTTATAATAATCCTATGCCTAACATCCGCACTAAGAGTCATTATAAAATTTCTCGATCAAGATTGAGAGATGGATATAGAACGTATCTCAACCAGCTTTGGCATTTCTTTCACTCCTCTCCTTCCTTATGAGAGCTAAGTCCATTAATATCGATCAATGACTGTAATTATCAATTATGCCACTCCTTTCAAACTGAAAAAAAGGTGAATCATCAACGGCCAGCATAACTTATCATTGGAGATTGATGGGATGAGATTTGAGGCTGGATTCAACTGCTCCGTAAGGTGAAAGCTACGTAATTCATAAAATGTGATTTCCTTGTTGACTTATATGTTGGTGGGTTCCTAATCCAAACAGCACTATGTAGCTAGTGAAGTCTGGGGAATTCCAAATTATTCAAACTTTTTGACATTTTCTCCGTTTTCTTTCTATTTGTAGCTCCATGGTAGGGTACTAGTATTTTTTTTTTCATTTCACAAAGAAAGCTCTAGTTGTGGGGTACATGGAAAAATATTGCAGATATGGACTAAATGACATTTTTGAAAAATAATTGTATGCCTATATAATTGATTGAACTTCAGTACTACTTGTAGATTTTGTTGTATTAGGCGCCCACAACCAACGGGGGTAGTTAAATATATTTGTCCAAGCATTGAAGGTTCACAGATATGATATACATATATATGATTAGTCCCCTTTTGAATTTCTTGCATTCGTTAATATTTTCCTAATCTTTCACTTTCAATGGCTCCAAAACAAGGATATTTGGCTGTCCTTATAGTTTCGAAATTGTAGTTCAAACTGTAGCTAAAAGTTTAGATACTAGAAAAAATATTAAACTTCAAGAAAAAGTATCAAGCAGGGTCGGATGTATGAAAGCCATTGCATACCTATTATTTTAAGAAAATTGTTAAATTTAATTTAATTTGTTAATGAAAATAGAAAAAAATTGTATACCCAAATTTTTTAGAATATGAGCATTAAAATTTTGGATCCCCATTTTTTAATTTCTAGATCTGCCACTGGTTCCAAGTATGAGATTCCCTTACCATGTGTCTTAGATGCAATTGATGTTGCTAGTTTCATGTTGAATTAAATAGTTAAACTTCATGGACTTGGCTTTGATCATGTTTATTATGTATTTTTGGATTTGAAAATTTAAATTTGAACTTTGGAATCATTTTAATGCCCAATGGTTATCATTTTTTCTACCACGTTTTCCCTCAATTCACCCTCGAATTAGAGGGACAACTGTACGTCCACTATTCTCTGTCATTCTTACATTACATGATTCATCTATTGCATAAATTGGTTATTTCGTCATACCGCTTGCCGGTACACCCTCTGCAACGATCCTTTATTCTTAAATATTCAATACGAGGCCTATAAGGGTAATTTGGTGATTTCAGCTCCCAAGGGCATTTGTAACCTCCTGCGCCTCTACTAGATGCTTGATCTCAATCGATATTAAACTCCTGACACTTGAGTCTATTTGATATCTTGAAGTCACTCAAACACTTTATGTATTGGTATCAAACCTTCGGTATGGAGACCACCGGTCTCAAGACCGAGCATCAGTTATCGATACTACAACCCTCAGTATTGATACCAATCGATACTCCTTCCCTCAATATCGATACGCCCTGCCTGAAATCCTTAATTTTTACCTCAATTCATCCAGTATCGATATTGTTCATCCCTGTACCGATACACAAACCCAAAAATATTTTATTTGGGCTCAGGAAACACCCAAAAACCATCTTAAATGACTTAGTTTGGTTCCTAATTTTGTACTGAAGCTTTAGAGAGTTAATTAGGGTCTTAAGGTGTCATAAAACACTTTCTTAACACCTGAAACGTGATTTGATCATGAATTTAAAGATAAACCCTAAAATGCATAAATAACCAAATTTTAGCAATTTCTTCAAATTTATGAAAGCTTAACACTACAAAGGATTAGAAATACACTACCTTGATGTTTGAATCCCAAAATGAACCTTCTTTAATTATCAAGCACTATATTTTTTAACTTGGTTATTTTTTTTACCCTTTTCCCTATAGCCAACAAAGATGCGTGGATTTATAAACGAAAGAATGTTGTAGGAAGTATTAAAGACAGATTATTAAGATTAAGGAAGTAAAGAAGAAACCCCAACACATACCTTGGGCTTGACACTTGCTATGGAGAAGGAATATGAAAAAAAGGAAAACAGGAAGAAGAGAAAGCCAAGTAGGAGAACCCCAAGCCCAAACTTGGTATAAACCCCAAAATCAACTTGTTATCCTTCAATGGTCTAATTTCACTTTTAGTCCTTCGCATTTTGTCTCATATTTAATAATCCCTTTTTATGGCTAATTGTGCCCCAAATCCAACCAAAATTAAGTTTAGCTCAACAACTTTAATTATAAATTTCATGATGTCCAGATACCTCTTGGGTAACTCGAAACTACTAGCCTAAAATTTGGGGTGTTACATGAAAGATATCTGTGATGCATCTTATGTCATTGGCATTAAGATTCATCGTGATAGACATCGAGCTATCTTAGATCTATCTCAAGAAACCTAAATCAACAAAGTTTTAGGAAGATTTCATATGAAAGATTGTTCACCAAGTATTGCTCCTATCGTGAAGGGCGGTAAGTTTCGTTTGAACCAATGCTCGAAGAGCGATTTTGAGAGAGAGCAAATGAAAAATATTCCATACGCTTCAGTTGTTGGAAGTCTGATGTATGCTCAAGTCTGTACAAGACCTGACATTGCATTTGTTGTTGTAATGTTGAGAAGATATCATAGTAATCTAGGTATTGACCATTGGAAAGCTATAAAAAAAATCTTGAGGTACCTAAAAGGGACAAAGGACTACATGCTTATGTATAAACGATCAAGTAGTTTAGATGTGATTTTCTACCCTGATTCATACTTTGTTGGTTTTGTTGATTCACGTAAATCAATATCGAGTTACATATTTATGTTTGCCAACAGAGCTATATCTTGGAGGAGTGTGAAGCAAACATTAACTGCTACATCAACCATGGAGGTTGAGTTCGTTCATGTTTTAAGGCTACCTCACATGGAGTATGGTTAAAGAGTTTCATTCTGGGCTTAGACTTGTGGACTCAATTTTAAAGTTATTGATATATTATAACAATTATGTTTGTGTCTTTATGGCTAAGAATAATAAAAGTAGAAGTCGAAGTAAACACATCAACATTAAGTATCTTGCTATAAGGGAACGTGTTAAAGAAAAGAAACTGGTCATTGAACACATTAATACTGAGCAGATGTTAGTTGATCTTTTAACTAAAGGCATGCCACCACATAAATTTAAGTGTCATGTTGTCACTATGGGACTTGTTTCCACTTTGTAAATTTTCATTGTAAGAACGATTTTAATTAAACTCTATTAAGTTTGATGTTTCTCATTTTGTTGTGTACACATTAATTTAATTATTTCGACAAATATCACTAAAGT